TTTATGGTATAAACACCGGTTTGTCAGCAAGTTTTGCTCTTCTCAATTCCAAATAATGCAAAGTTCAAGAATATGCATTTCATTGCAACTTCGTTTTCTTTTTTTAAATTGTTTTATTTAAAAAAAATGTTTGGCCATGCTGCGTGGCACGTGGGATCTTAGTTCCCCAACCAAGGATTGAACCCATGCCTCCTGCATTGGAAGCATGGAGTCTTAACCTCTGGACTGCCAGGGAAGACCTGAAACTTCATTTTATTGAAACCAGTGATCCCTGAGTCTTTTGACATCCTTCCATCTGTGAGTGTGGTGGTGGGAGAGCGAGGCTCTGTTCCCACTTCTCAGATGGGAAGATGGAGGTTCGGGAGTGAATAACTGACAGGTCAGCAGTAGGGACCCAGAAGCCGGGGCATCCTGTCCCTGATGTGGTGAAGGATGTAGACAGAACTGAAGCCTACATTCCCTCCTCATCCCGACCAAATTCCGTTGCCCTCTGGAGAGGAGAGGGGAGCCAGGGGGGCAGTGGTGAAAAAACATATGGGTTTCCTGGGCTGTGTGGCTGGTTCTTGCTTCCCAGTGGGTGTGAAGCTGTGAGTGAGGGTGGAGAGTGTTTGTGAGTATGGTTTGGGCTGTGAGTGAATGAGCTTGAGCATGTGAGCATGTGTGTGGGTGTTTGGGTGTTCTTTGCAGCCACCTGGGGCTGATGTGGCAAAGGAAGTGGCCAGACCTTGGGAGGATGGGCAGGGGGACCCCAGGGCGGGGGAAAGAGGACCCAGGGCCCTTCCTGCACAGTCACCCAGGCTGGCCTCTGACCGGACCTGGGGAAGGGGACTTCCTGTCTGGCCGCGCTGTGAAATTCAGACTCCTACTCCCTCCGTTCAGCCTGGACCAACTCATGGCTTTCCATCCCCCAAGAATCTCAAGTCCCTCAAGATCTCTATTGTAGAGGCTAGTGGGTAGGTTTTCAGCAACCGATGAGAAAATACTTTTACCAACAAGAAGTGGAGAAAATTCAGCTGACACGGTGAGGACCCTGTGGACGGGAAAGCTAGTGTGGCCCCTCCCTCACCCCCACACACTGGCCTTACCAGAGTGATAGAATCAGAGCCGGCTTTGTCTTCTTAGCCCCTGGGTGTTAGGGGTGGGGGTGATAAGGCCTGAGTGATGTGAGATGGTTGGAGGTTCTATGAGAGATGCAGGCCTCAGTGAGGGAGATGGAGGCTCAGGAAGGGCACGAGAGCCAGGGAGGGGTGGAAGGTCTCAGTGAGGAATGGAAGCCTTCATCAGAAGGGCCAGGCCTTGGCGAGGGATGGGCTGCAGCGAGCCTGAGACTTGGGCCTGCCCACCGGGCCAGCCTGAAGCCCTGAGGAGAAGCCGGAACTCTTGCTGGATGGTGGTTTCCTGTGCCTTTTCAGTCCCAGTTCCCTTTTGGTGAAATCCCCCAGGCAGCTGGGCCAGCTCAGCCCTCCCACCTCACCCCAGCACTTCTCTTTCTTCTCTGCCCCATCACGTCTCCTCCCTCGGCCTTGGAGGGGGCTTCCTCAAGGGAAAGGATCCGAAGTGAAAGTTCACAGAGCAACTAGAGTGCACCCGGTGCTTTTAGGGGCTTGACCGCAATTGAGGCTCAGGAGCAACCCCAGGAGGCAGAGATTTAGATTCCTATTTTCTAGGCGAAGAGACTACAGCTCAGCGAGAAGTGAAACGACCTGCCCAATGTCTCAAGTCGGGTAGAATTTGAGCCGAAATCAGTCTCCAGATCCCACAGATACTTGGCAGAAGTCAGGGGGGAACAGGACATCCTGTGTCTACATCAAAGCCCTGATGTGCTGTTGGCAAGTATAGACCTCAAGAAAGGATGGGTGCATCTCGGGCTCCTATGTCCAGGAGGAGGGGTGGGAGGTGGGCAGTTTCTCTGCTTTGTGGCCAGCTGCCATATATATGGCAGGGGTGGTATGATCAGTTGTCCAGGGACTGGGTAGGAAATATGACATTCACCAATCAGAGAGAGCATGACCTCCCTGCTCAGGCTTTGGAGAGCACAGCTGGGAACAGAACTCTGTACATGAATTAATAGCGCTGGCTTTGAATCCCAGGTCTGGCTGTTTGACCTCCAACAACTCACTTCCCCTCTCCACACAAGAGAGAGGTAGACTGATAAATCATCCCTGGGGGCCCTTCTAGCTTTGCTGCTTATGGTTCTCAGTCTTTCTTAATCACACTGGCCAAGAGCCTTTCCAACAACTGCACAGAAGATAGAGATGCAAAAACAGAGGCTCAGAAGGCTGATGTCATTCAACCAAGGCCCCAAAACTCGGGAGGGCCACAAAGAAGGGGAGATGCTGAAGGTGGGAAACACCATGGTCCAGGATCGGACCTCAGCTCTGACATCCACAGCCTGATTTTGACCCAGATCAGACTTTGAAAGCCAACTCCTGTCAACCAGATGTTCAAGAGGCCTGTTTATTAACAGACTCAAGTCCCTGCAGTGACCAGAACGCTTGTGGCGGGTCTCTGAGCCGCTCCCTTTGTAAGCAGGCAACCTATATCGGTGCTGTGAAAAGAGAGACCTGAATTCAGATTTCTAAGGGCTATTGAAAATCGGTGGTTGCTGAGAGACCCTGGGAGGTCACTTCCCCCACTCTGGGCTGTAATGAGGATTCAGGGTGTGTAGCATGGCGCTTGGCACTCTGTGAGGGCTCATGAAGGCGCATACTGTGTTGATTTCACGAGGACTTCAAAATACAGCAGTGCTTATGATGGACTTTGGAGCCAAATTGATTGGGGTTGTGTTTTAGCTTCCCCTTACTCGCTGTGTAGGTAGTCTTTGGGAAGTTATTTAACACCTTTGTGACTTGGTTTCCTTATCTGTAAAATAGGGGTAATAATAAAACCTACCTCATAGGGTCACTAAATGAGATCAATCATGGGACTTGCTTGGCATTGTGCCAGGCACAGAGTGAAGTGAAGTGAAGAAAGTTGCTCAGTCGTGTCCGACTCTTTGCAGTTCCAGGGACTGAAGCCTGTCAGGCTCCTCTGTCCATGGAATTGTCCAGGCCAGAATACTGTAGTGGGTGGCCATTCCCTTCTCCAGGGGATCTTCCCAACCCAGGGATGGAACCCAGGTCTCCTGAATTTCAGGTGGATTCTTTACAGTCTGAGCCACCACCAGGGAAGCCCCAGGCACAGAGTAGGTGTTTAATACATTAACGTTTTAAAACTAATAGTTGTCGCCTCCCCACCCGCTTCCCCAGATTTCTAGGAAGTCAAATTATGCCCCTAGGCATTGGTAGCTTGTAGCTGAGATGAGAGCTAGGAGGACAAAGATTCCTGGGGGCTGTTTTCATGCAGATGCCGAGCAGAGAGGACCCTCCGTGTTCCCTTTCTCTTTCCTCTTTGTCTCTTTAGTTCTCTCTGTCTCTACCCCTCTGTTTCTCAGCCTCTGTCCCCCTCTGTCTCGCTGCCTCTCATTTCAGTCTCTGTTTGTCTCTTTGTTTCTTTCTGGCAGTGGTGTGCTGGAGCCAGCTACCTAGTACCGGCCCTGGGGAGCTGATTCTGCAAATCTCTTTCCAGCCCAGCATTCAGCAAGTCACTTCGGTAACTTGAAATCGGCCATGGTGGGAATATTTACACCATGGAAATCAGGAAATGCTACAAATCTGGGCCTTTTTATTCCCCCGTTTCTTTTAAGAGTCAGTGTACCAGCACGGACACGACTGAGCGACTGAACTGAACTAAACCGATACCAACACACCCTTACCCCTGCCCCCGCTGCCCATGCCATCAGCCTTGCCGGGGCTCTCCCTCTGCCTCCTTCTTGGAGGGTCTCTGAACCCCCTCCCCATTCCAGGTTTGCAGAATTCAGGGATCCTCTTAGGCTGATTTTTAAAGGTGGGGGTAACATATACCTGTCTATTGTTGGCAGTGGCGGCATCATGTCTAAGTGGGGACTCAAGAGATCGTGTAAGTTTGAAACTCGTAGAGAGGAGCTCTGTGTGGGTCTGTGACTCGGGGAGAGGAAGACTACATATATCTCTGGGTTTCCTGGTGGAGGCTCATTACACCTGTGTGTGCTTGAAGGAATGGCTGGAATCCTCTGTGTCTGTGACCAGGCAATGGAGAGAAGTGGTTCAGACCCTGGAACCAAACGCCAGGATACCTCATCTGTGTGGCCTTTGGCAAGTTTCTAAACCACTCTGTGCCTTGGGTGCCTTAGCATTAATAATAATACTTAACCTTGTAGAGTTGTCATGAGAATAAAATGAGGTAATATGTATAAAGTGTTTAATGCAGTGGCTGACATAGAGGAAGGCTGTAATGGGAGAGGCTCTGTGTGTGTGTGTAAATGGGTAAAGGCTGAAGGTGTGTGTCTATTCCTAGATGTCTATGTCTGTGAATCTGTACAGAGGAGCTCAGAGACTCCATGTGAGGCTCTGTTGTGTAGCCGAGGTGACGGGGGTGTCTGAGAATGTGTTGGCAGGGCTGTGTGCCGTCTGAGATGTGCGCGTGTCTTCCTGTGAGAAGACCTCCATTCTCACCCTGAAGGTTGTGTTTTCCTCTTACCCCCGTCTGTCCCCTGAGTGCCTGAAATCCCCTCCCTTGGCTGGAGATGCCCCTCCTCCACCTCTGTGTCTGTACTCTCCATGAGCCTCACCAGCCCTGAGCACCTTGGAGGCTTTCACACAGTGGCTTCACCCCAGGGGAGGGGTCCTGAGGTCCTGAGGCGAAGATCTCGGCAATGGCGTGGTGAACGGGGGCTATTTTGGAGCTCAAACCACAGCCCGCCTCATAGTTCACCACATGGGTGTCACCCCCTACACATACACGGGAGAACGGTTGCAGCGGAGCGTGAGACAGGCTGGTGGGTCTAGAGCGAGGGTCACAAGGCACTGATGTGACAGGGCCATCAGCCAAGCAGCTAGATCTGGTGGATCCAGGAAGGCTTCCTGGAAGAGGTGAGTGGTGCTGGCTGGACAGGTGGGGCCGGACCCATAGAGAGGAGAGGGGGGATATCCGTAAAGGGAACCAGACTCAGGAGTGAAGAAAGGCAAGGCAGGACACCTGTCCTGAGGGTCCTCTGGGAGAAACGGAGGCACACCGGGTTGGCCCCACCCTGGAGCTCACATCTGAGGAAGTTGAGCCCTTTCCCCGGCAGTTCCTCTCTAAGTGTTGCAATGGCGGAGTTTCTGGCAGGGCGTGGGGAGCCCTTGCTCAATGACCTGCCTGCCTTGTCACTCAGAGGACACAGCTACCGGGAAAGCCTTGGCTCCCTTGGGGGCACCCCAAGTCAGACCTGGTGGTCCTGACTTCTGACTTGGGCCTTTCCATGGTGTGGAACAAGCTCTGGAGGTAGGTTCCTCCTCCCCTCGGCTACTCCATGTGGTCCTGGGGCTGCTGGGGTTTACCCAGACCAGGGTGGGTGCCAAGGCAGGACCCAGAGGGAGGGCTTGGTTTTAGAAGACAGTGATCAGAGGCCTAGGGGGAACCGAACAGGGCCGACGGAGGCCTGGGTCTACCCCAGAGATGTGCGTGCGTGAGTGCACGGGTCTGTTGGCCTGAGCGGGCAACCTGTGTGCGCGTGCCCGTGTGCACGCTACCATGCACCGGGGCCTGGGCTCGCGCGGCTTAGTTGTGTTGCTGTGTGGCGGTGCTGCTGAGCCCACTCACCAGGGGTGCGTGTACGTGTTGCGTGTGACTCTGCTGCTCGTGTACTGATGTGTCAGGTGGAGATGCGTGTGAGAGGGCTGGCGTGGGTGGTGGGTCTTGTGTGAGGGTGGATGTTTAAGTGAGCCGTGGAGGCCAGGACGAAAAGGAAGGAGGAGTCCTGTCGGGGCAGAGCCCAGGCCCCTGGCTTCCCTGGAGAGGACGGGCGTGGGCATCTGGCCGCCAGAAGCCTGGCAGGGACTTCATCTTCCGTGTCCTCTGTCTCGCCCTCAGGTCTCCGGCCCCTCCCAAGGACCATGCCGCAGCCCCACTGACGCAGGAGTAGGGGCCTGAGGGGTGAGTGGGGGCTGAGGGCTCCCCGGGTCAGGAAATGGGGTGGCGGTGGCCTCTCTGGGCCCCACAATTCCTCACAGCCCCTTCCTCCTACAAGGGCCCTGTTGCTAGGTAACAGATGGAGGAGCCAGAGTGAGGCAGCTTGAAAGGCCAGAGGCTGGACCCACGACAGGAAATGGCCTTGATCCCCCTCTGCAGGGACTCTCCAGGTGCAGGCACACAGCCCTCACACGCACTCACACACAAACATGCATCGACACACAGACATGCGCACATGCACGGACACGCACATACGCACACGGACTGACGCAGACCTGCACACACAGATACACACACGCAGACAGGCACAAGTGCTCCCACACAGGGCCACACGCATGGTCATGACACACAGACGCACTCACTCACACACGCCTGCAAACACAGACACACACACCCATGCTGACACAGAAACGCGTGCATATGGACACACTCCAACAGATATGAGCACACAGAGTCGTTTCATACAAGAACGTCCACACACTCACATACACACAGACACAGACATTCACAAAGAGCTGCCCAGACACACACAAAGACACGCACCCATAAGCAAACTCACAAATACTTAGAGACACAAGAAAGATACACACACAAGCACTCTGAGGGGGTCATAGAAACCCAACACACTGAAGCAATAGGAGGCAAAAACATATAAATAACATATAAATAAACATCCCGAAACAGAAAACCAGTCCCGTGGAGGAGATACATACTCTCCAGAAACACTAAAGCAGCTGTGAGGGTGAACAGAATGGTGACCCCGCCCCCCTTTATCCCTCCACTTGGGGAGGACCCCCTCCCCCCAGGCCTGAGCAAGGCAGCTGCACGCCTGTGTGCATGTATGTCAGTGTGCGTGCACATGTGCCTAGGGTGGCAGGTTTCACAGGGACCCCCGAGTGAAGCATGCCCCCCTTCTATAGCAGGGCACCTGGCATGGGCTGTGTGTTCTGCAAGAAGTTGGAGCCGGGGGCCAAGGAGGATGGTAGCCTAGAAGGGGACTTCAGGAGCTATGGGGCTGCAGACCGCTATGGCCCCGACCCTACTCAGAGCCGGCCTACATCTTCCTTTCCCCACATCCCCAACTACAACAGCTTCTCCCCTCAGCCCGCCAGCTCCGCCTTCCTTGATGCGGGCACCATCCGGGGCATCTCAGGTGAGTCCAGGGGCCTGGAGGCAGGCACTGACTGGACCCTCACAGGACCTCGGGGGAGGAGAGACTTGGCCTTGTCCTTCGTAACCTCCAGGATGACTTGGGAGACACAGCCCTGCCTTTAGCGCCCAGTCTGAGGGAGTGCGTCCAGCCTTACCCTCAGAAACCCCCATCTGAGGGGCAGACAGAGCTCTGTTCCCCGTCTGACAGAAGGACTCGGAAGACAGTTACCAGTGGGATGTCTGCTTGGTGGGGGAGAGCAGAAGGGACTCCCAGGGAGCCCCCAAGGGAGGAGGGATGAGCTCGATGGTATGTGTCCTGAATCCATGAGGTCCAAATCAGAAATCCACTGGATTCCAAAGACCTTTGAGCTCAGGGCGCTGTCGCAGTGGGGAGGCAGAGTGCCTGTATGGGGAACAGGACTCTGGGGGTGTAGCTTCTGGGGAGCCCTCTGATGAGTAACCCTGGCTCTGCAGGGATTGGGGTGACCATGTTCATCGCTCTTTATGACTATGAGGCCCGAACGGAGGACGATCTCACCTTCACCAAGGGTGAGAAGTTCCACATCCTGAACAACACGTAAGTGATCAGGCCCCCCCAGCTCAGGACCCAGAGAGGAATCTTACCTGGTCCTTGTCCTCAGGAAATGCCAGTCTAACTGGAGAAGGAGACATGACAATAACAATCTCTGGGTAACTGCTACTATGTAGGGGAAGCCTGAGGAACTACGGGCACGGAAAGAATACCAACCAGGGCCTCGAGGGTAGCAGTGATCAGGGCAGGCTTTCTGTAGGAGGTGATTTCTAAACTGAGACTAGAAAAACGAAGAGACATTGAAAGAAGAGGTAACAAAAAAGGAAGAGAGTTAGAATGAAACTAAATGATGACTTCTGGAAACCACCAAGTGGTTCAGTATAGGAGGGTCATAAAGTCTGAAGTGCAGAACAGATCCTGGAGGACTGGGTGGGAACAGATTCCGCAGGGCTTCTTAAGCCATCTTGAGGAGTCTGGATTTTATCAAGAAGGAAATGGAGCCATTGGAGGGGTTTTTAATGGGGAAGTGACCTAGTTAGCTGTTCACTGCCTGCCCAAACCCCAGCCCAGCTGAGGTGCCAGAAAAGAACGCCAGGAGGCCCAGATGTCCCCACACAGACTCCTTCTGCGGAGAAAAAGCTCCCAGGGCAGCTGCAGTGGCTGGGGGCAAAACAGGCAAAAGCCCTGGGGGTGGTGTGTTCCGGGTGAGGGGTTGGCAGGGCCAGTGTTCGCCTGATCCTTGATGTGACCCTGCCTGGCCCCACGGTGCCCCAGGGGCTAGGTTGCCAACAAAACCCTCTGTTCTGTGTCTCCAGCGAGGGTGACTGGTGGGAGGCTCGGTCCCTCAGCTCCGGACACACTGGCTACATTCCCAGCAACTACGTGGCCCCTGTGGACTCCATCCAGGCTGAAGAGTGAGTAAGGATGGGGGGACGCCAGCCTCAAGGGCAGGGCTCTGGAGTCCAGATTCAAGGCCACTCTTAAGCAAGTTGCAGCTACACTCTCAGTCTGTCTCCTTATCTATAATCCTGTAAGGCCATTGTGAGGATACGAGAAGATAAGAGAGATGATACTAACAGTTGGTAATATTATCCAGCACATACCATGTTCTGAGCACTATTCAGAGTGTTTTCTGTGTATTAACAAAGTCAGAAACTAATACTATACTGGTTTACAAATGAGGAAACTGAGGCAGAGAGGAATTAAATATCCTGCCCAAGTTCACATGGCTAGTAAATTCCTGGAGCTGGTATTTGAACCCAGCTAGTCTGGCTACATTTGCTAAGCATTATATGTATATGAAAATGCAAGTTAGTCTCACAGTCATGTCCAACTCTTGGCAATCCCATGGACTGTAGCCTGCCTGGCTCCTCTGTCCATGGAATTCTCCAGGCAAGAGTACTGGAGTGGGTTGCCATTCCCTTCAGCCCAGGGACTGAACTTGGGTCTCCTGTGTTGGAGGCAGATTCTTTCCCAACTGAACCACTAGGGAAGCCATATATAAATACATATTCTCTCAGCGATAACAACAGTGTACGAGCTTTTTAAAAAACCGTGAAGTGCTAAACACATAGAAGGAGACATTACTTAGAATAAATTCTGTTAAGTAATCAAAGAAATATCATTTTTTAATACCCTGATGAAATTGAGATACTGTGACAGGTACTTTATATACCTTGATTCATTTAATTCTCTATGGATTTTACGGACGAGGAAACTGAGGCTCACAAACAGTTTTTATCTAGCTTCACATATACATCCATATATAGGAAAAGTAGAGATGGGAGAGACCGCAGAGTAGGAGTCACAAGGACTTGGTGACTGATTTGCTGCTGGGTTGTGGGAAGTGAGAGGAATCCAAAGTGACCCAAAGGCTTCTTGTGGAGCCAAGTGGGTGCTGTTTGCTAAAGTGGGGAACCCAGGAACAGGTACAGATACATGAGGAGGGGTTTGCTTGTTAGGTGGAATTCATGGAGGGGAACACTCACAATTAGGTCAGCAGTTAGATTGGGTATGCTTTGTATGAGAACTGCCCAGCCATGCTAAGCCATGTGCCGGCATTAGCCCAGATGAAGGGGCATCCTTTTCTAACCATCACTGAGATTCCTTAGTTTGTTGGCTGTGGCTCTTGCAGAGGTCACGCCTGGGCTGGGGTGGAAATTCAGGACTCTTCAGAGTGGAAAGAATCGTCAGAGCTGCACAGAGGAGTGAAGGAAGAAAATGAAAGAGACTGGTCCTAGGACCCAACTCTGGAAAAAGCTGGACGTGAGGGAGAAGGAGCTGTTGGCAGACCAGGCCAGGCCAAGTCAGAACAACCAAGAAGGCAGAGGGGAGGTTTCAGGAAACAAGAGAGGGAATGTCAGAAGCTGCCACTGGATTTGGCAACAGGGTTGGCCTTGGTCAGACATCCCTCCGCGTGAAGTCAGGGTGGAGGCCAGACAGCAGAGCCTGGGAGGGAGTGGGAGGTGAGGAAGCAGAGACCCGGTGTGAAGGGCTTTTTCAAGTGAAGGAAGGTGAGAGATACAGCAGAACCTTGGTGGTAAGATAGAGCTTAGAATGGTTTCCTTTGGGGAAAGAAGAAGTGTGGCCACATGTAGGGGCTGGTGGGATGGAGAGGAGGCAGATGGGGGCTGGCCGCTGGGGGAGAGGTGTCCCTGAGCAGAGGCCAGTGGACGGGCTCCAGAGCTCAAATGGCATGAGGCCTTCATCCGGAGAGGGTGATAGGAGGCTTCTTGGAGGAGAGGAGAGGTGATGAGGCACGTGAGAAGTCTGGGGGTCCACATCTCAGAGGCAGTGTCATGAAGCTCTGAGAGGTGCTCCGTGCAGCGTTGTGGTTAAGAGCGCTGTCGTGGTTAAGAGCGCAGGCCCAAGAGCAGACAGCTTGGGTTCCTATTCTGGCAGCACAGCTTAAGAATTGTGTAGCTCTGGGTAAGTTGCTTAACCACTAGGTATTTCAATTTCCTCATCTGTCTAATGGGGGTTAATAACTACTTATTTCACAATATTGTTATAAGAATAAAATGGATACACACATGTAAGACAGCAGAGCCTGACACAGAATAGGTGCCGTTATTGTTGTGTCAATAATTAAGGAAGTAGCTAATATCCCGGTGTGAGGAGGGGGCAAAGCATTGAAAAAACTTGAGAATGTGATCTGTCTACATAGCTTCTCCTTTCCCCACCCTGCCTGCCTTCCTGGACACTACTCGCCAACACCTTTCCTTGTTCCCCAGACTGTGCTTAGTAACCAGGCATAGCTTGACAGTCCCAGGGTTCACTGAGACTGCCACCTCCCTTAATTTGAAAACTGTGTTCCTTTTAATTCAGCCCAAAATGATCATAAGCCAATTTAGCGATCAAATGACACCTGAGTCTTCTGTGGCACCTATGGTCACTTTGGCTGTCCTCGCATTGTACTCTCACCATTGGCTCAAGGCTACAGTTCAGTCCCAGGAGGTATATCCAAGAGATAGCAGGAATACTTGAGGTCTCAGTTGAAGTTGAGACTTAGAACAACATTCAGACTTTAGAAAGTGGAGGAAAAGCAGCAGTCAGAACTGGGCAGGAGCAGTTCAAAAGAGGGAGAAGGGGACTTCCCTGGTGGTCCAGTAGTTAGGACTCAGCGTCCTAACTACTGCCTTGGCCTGAGTTCAATCCCTGGGGCAGGGAACTAAGATCCCACAAGTCATGCTCTATGGCCAAGGGGGTAAAAAAAGAAAGGAAGAGTAGCAGAAAAGGGTGTTGTTCTGGATGCCAAATGAGGAAAGGGTTTGAGGGGCATGTGGAGAGAGGAACCAGAGTGACTGCATGTGATGATGGGAAAAGAAGTAGGGCAGGAGGCAAAGGTTTTAGATAGCGCTCATCAGCTAGCCTTGTGGGCAGGTCAGTTCTCCTCTCTGAACCTCAAGTTCCTCATCTGTAAATGAGCCTATGGAAGGAACTGTAGTGACCCCCTGATGACGTCTAGCAATTTTAATTCAGGAGACACTCAGGAGATTTCCCTAGTGGTCCAGTGATTAAGAATCCACCTTCCAATGCAGGGGACAGGGATTCGACCCCTGGTCCTGGAGCTGAGATCCCATGTGCCGTGGGGACAACTAAGCCCATGCACACAACTACTGAGCCCGCCCTCTAGATTGTGTGAGCCCCAACTAGGGAGAAACCTTCGCAGTGAAAGGAAGATCCCTTGCAGCCAAATAAATAAATAACTAAGAGGGAAACCCGGAGAGGGAAGAGGAGAAGCCTAAGCTTCATAGGGTAACTTCTGTGTGCCAGGCATTCTCTACATCTCTGCTCTGTGATCCTCCTTGTCAGGCTGCAAAGCAGGTGTGTGATCCCGTTTCATGGGTGAGGAAATCGAATCTTGGCTAGTGAGGTGACTTTTCCTGGGAGGCTCAGTTGGGGGTTGAGCCAGGTGTATCTGACTCTCGTTGGCCTTTCCCTACAGGTGGTACTTCGGAAAGATCGGGAGGAAGGATGCTGAGAGGCAGCTGCTCTCCGCAGGGAACTCCCGAGGGGCTTTTCTCATTAGAGAGAGCGAGACCACCAAAGGTGAGGGTTCTGCCACTGCCCACCCAATGGGGGCAGGCTAGCCATTTGGGTGGGGCTAGGAGCAATGGGCTTCCCTTGTGGCTCAACTGGTAAAGAATCTGCCTGCAATGCGGGAGACCTGGGCTCGATCCCTGGGTTGGGAAGATCCCCTGGAGAAGGGAAAGGCTACCCACTCCAGTATTCTGGCCTGGAGAATTCCTGTATAGTCCATGGGGTCGCAAAGAGTTGGACACAATTGAGCAACTTTCACTTTCACTTCACTTTCAGGAGCAGTGGGGTGGGGCTTGGGTCAGGGCCAAGACTGGGAGAGGGTTGGAGGAGCTGAGCTAAGACAGGGACTGGGTTCAAGGGGTGTGGCCATCCAACTTCAGAGTCCCCAGCCTTTTGGGCTTCCCCAGGCTCCCAGACTAGGGGTGGTAAAGAGGAAAGCAGACCCAAAGGTGATCCTTGCCCACAGGCGCCTACTCCCTGTCCATCCGGGATTGGGACCAGGCCAGAGGCGATCACGTGAAGCATTACAAGATCCGGAAGCTGGACACCGGTGGCTACTACATCACCACGAGGGCCCAGTTTGACTCCGTGCAGGAGCTGGTGCAGCACTACCTTGGTGAGGGCAGCCCTTCAGGCTGGCGTGCGTTTGAGATTCCTGAACCAATCGGCTGCGACTGAGGTGCCCAGGGAAGGGAAAGGGCTCCCAAAACAGTTGTGCCTGGACTGGAACTAAAACCCAAGTTGTCTGGACGCCTGGCCCAGGATCCTGCTCTGTAAGTTTCCAGAGGAAACTGAGGCGTGAAGCTCTGCATGGTCGGAGAGCACCCCCCTAACGTCTGAGCTGAGTAGGAGACTGAATGAACCTGACTTGGAGGATGGGCTCTAAGGTGGAGGAGAAGTTTAGCATCCAATCCCAGTTTTTGCTTTGGTTGATTAGGCCAAGCATAGGTCTGTGGAAGGGTGAAGGCTTCGTGTCCACACCTTTGTCTGGAATTCCCAAGTCCATTTCCACCTGTCAGAATCCCATCTTATCCTTGGAGGCCCAGCTGGGGGCCACCTCTTAAGGGAAGGCCATCAATCCTTACAGGAATTATCTCTCCCTCGGGTGCCACCTCCTTCCCAGGGCAGCAACATGTTCACCTACTCAGTGGGCTGGGTTGCCTTCTGCCTTGGCCTGTGACCCTCAGCTGTGCTCTAGTGGCTTATAACTGGTCTTGGAGGCTGGGGTTGGAATGAGGAATGTGTGGAGCATCCTGGCTGCCTTTGACCTTCAACTTCCCAATGCCCCGCTGCCCAGAGGTGAACGATGGGTTGTGCCATCTGCTCACTGCGGCCTGCACCACCATGAAGCCGCAGACGCTGGGTCTGGCCAAGGACGCCTGGGAAATCAGCCGCAGCTCCATCACGCTGGAGCGCCGACTGGGCACCGGCTGCTTCGGGGATGTGTGGCTGGGTACGGAGGTCCCGAGAGCGGGGGAGGGGGTGTGGGTGGGAGTGGTGGTGTGGGGGATCGGGGCCGAGGCCGGGGCAAGGTCTGGGCGCGGCAGGGAGCTGGTCCAGACAAGCCTTTCCACTCAACAGGCACGTGGAACGGCAGCACCAAGGTGGCGGTGAAGACGCTGAAGCCGGGCACCATGTCCCCGAAGGCCTTCCTGGCGGAGGCGCAGATCATGAAGCTGCTGCGCCACGACAAGCTGGTGCAGTTGTACGCGGTGGTGTCTGAGGAGCCCATCTACATCGTGACCGAGTTCATGTGCCACGGTGAGGGGCGGGGTCAGCACGCGGGGTCTGGGAAGGCGGGGTTTTCGGGGGGATTCCCAGTTTAAGGTGGGTTTATCTGGGGGAGGAACCGGGGTGGTGATTTGTGAAGGGACGAGGAACGCTGGGCAGAGGCCGAGTGAGGGGCCCTGGAATGAGAAAAAAAAACACTGGGAGTTTGGGCGGGGCCAAGGTAGACTGGGCGGGGTCTTTGCCCGGGGACGGAGCCTCGTGGGGCGGTCCGAGACATGTGGGCAGAATAGGGTTGTCGGTGGGAGTAGGGTCTGGGCGAAATCCGTGAGGGGTTGAGGCACCTGGCGGGATCTCGAGTGGGTGTGTGTGTGTGGGGTTGGGGCGACGCGGATCTAGGGTGAGAGGCCTGGGAGCAGAGGGCGGGGCCAAGCGAGAGAAGGCAGGCCCTAGGCTGGGAGTGGGGTCTTAACTGCTGCTTTTCTTTCTTTCTTTTTTTAAAATTAATTTATTTTAATTGAAGGATATTTACTTTACAATACTGCGATGGTTTTTGCCATGCATCAGTATGAATCGGCCATAGGGATACATGTGTCCCTTCCACCCTGAAGGTCCCTCCCGCCTCCCTCCCTATCCGTATCCCTTCGGGTCCTCACAGAGCACCAGGTTTGGGTGACCTGCTTCCTACATCAAACTGGTTATCTCTTTTGCATATGGTAATGCACATGTTTGGATACTAGTCTCTCAAATCATCCCACCCTCTCCTTCTTGCTGCTGATTTTCTGAGTTCTCCTCCCCAGGTAGCTTGCTGGAGTTCCTCAAGGACCGGGAGGGTCATGTTTTGAAGCTGCCCCATTTGGTGGACATGGCAGCACAGGTAAACTGAGACAGCCACCTTTATCTCTCAGAGCCCCTCCTATTATCTTCCACAAACCCCTGGGTCCTCCAGCACCTAGCCTGCTCCTGGAAGTGCAGCCCCAATGCCTGGACCATCTGTGCAACCTGAGGCAGGACCCTGCCTCTCTCTTTGGGCCCCACTCTGAAAAAATGGGATTTTCTCAAAAGATCTCATCTCTCTATACCTTCGCCCCCAGGTTGCTGAGGGCATGGCCTACATGGAGCGCATGAACTATATCCACCGTGACCTCAGGGCAGCCAACATCCTCGTCGGGGAGCGGCTGGTGTGCAAGATTGCTGACTTCGGGCTGGCCCGTCTCATCGAGGATGACGAGTACAACCCCCAGCAAGGTGACCTGCCTCACCCCTCCTTCCAAGAGCTCCCCAGTGCACCAAGGGGCTGCCCTGGGGCCCTGCCTCCTCCCAGACCATCCCGGACACTTCTACTCCGATATAATGTAAAAGGCAACTTTGGGTTCAAGCCCAGTTCCTCCACTTACCAGCCATGTGGCCTTGGGCAAGTCACTTAACCTCTCTGGGAGCTGTCTTTTCTCACAATGGAATTCTCAGTGAATAATCCCAATGAAAATACTCAGACAACAGATATTTATCAAGCACCTCCTATGTTCCAGGCACCTCTATAAATCTCAAGTGAAAGACCATAGAGTGTAATAGCAAAAACGCTGTAGCCAGAATGCCTAGGTCTGAATCCTAGCCACTTGGAAGCTGCATGATTTGGGCAAGTTATTAACTACTTAGTGCCACCTTTTCCTCTTCTGTACAATCGGGATAATACTAGTAAAAAAAAAATATTAAAACTCACAGGGTTTTCCTGAAGGTTATCATGAGTTAATGCACGTAAATTGCTTAAAACAGTGCCTGGCACATGGTCGAGGCTATATGGGTGTTAGCTATAATTATGATGAGAATTATTACAATGTTTGCAAAGTGCCCAGCACTATACTAGACCCTTAGCAAGTTCTGGCTAGATACCAGGTCTTTCCTGTTATGCCCAGAGACCTCTGTGCTTAGGGTTCCCATCCCTAAAGATGCCATTCTTTTAATCCAGCGATTCCCAGGGATTTCTTCACTAACTTTCCCTTCTCCCTCGATCTCTCCAGGGACCAAGTTCCCCATCAAGTGGACAGCCCCAGAGGCTGCCCTCTTTTGCAGATTCACTATCAAGTCAGATGTGTGGTCCTTTGGGATCCTGCTCACTGAACTCATCACCAAGGGCCGAGTCCCCTACCCAGGTTTGCTGGGGGAGTGGGGGTGGAAAGGTGGTCATGGGAAGAGCCTCTTCCTAGCTGCCTCTTCAGAGGGCCAGGCCCTCTGACTGACGGAGCCCTACCTTACAGGCATGAATAACCGCGAAGTGTTGGAACAAGTGGAGCATGGCTACCACATGCCGTGCCCCCCAGGCTGCCCAGCATCCCTGTATGAAGTCATGGAACAAACCTGGCGTCTGGACCCAGAGGAGAGACCCACCTTCGAGTACCTTCAGTCCTTCCTTGAGGACTACTTCACCTCCACAGAACCCCAGTACCAGCCTGGGGATGAGACATAGCCTGATTGGGCATCAACCACCTCTCTGGGGGTGCCTGCCAACCCCTTCCTATTCCTAGGGTTCTGGTCCCAAAACCTCCAGGCCTAGAACCCTATAGTGTCCTAGCATGTCAGAGTAAGCAAGTTGCTTTAGGTTCATCTAGGGCAACCTGTTCATTTTAAAGATGGGGCAAATTGAGGCTCAGAGATCATCCCTCACCCACTCTGGCCCCAAGCTCTATCTCTCCCCTTCCCACTTAAGCCCCTACATGCCTCTAGCCTTCCTGCCTGTGCCCCTTCCCCCCAAAAAAGAAATGCTGAGATTTTTTTCTAGTTATTTATAAAATTGTATATCCTTTCCTTCACTTACCTCCTGTCCCTGCTTTCTTACCTGTCAACCCACCCTGGTCCAGACCCCCAGAATTCACCTCCTACTCAATTCCCTCATGTCTGTAAGTTACAAACACAGGAAAAATTTCTGTCAGATTCCTTTCCCGCTGGGTGGATGCTGTCGTCCACAACTGGGGTCCAAGCCAGGGTGAAGGAGAGGGTTGCTGAGGGCTCATCACCTCTCTGAACCATGTGTGTGTTTACTGATTTTGTAAATAAGAAGAGTGACCATATGAATCCTTGAGCCATGAAAATTTCTTTCTGTGGGAGGGACGGTGGTCAGTGGGAGGTGAATGGGCCTGCTTTGGCTGCTGGGAGGAGGAGGAGGTTAGAGAGAGCCCTAATGCCTGCTAATCACAGGGCACCCAAGGTGTGTTCTAGGACACCCCAAAGTCCTGAATCTCATCCTCATATGAGCTTAGGATGAGCTGAGAGATGGATATAGAATCAAGTAACTGGAGATCAAAATATCCCCTTCATTACTGATGTGTGGCTTTCAGTCTGCATGCAGTGGTTTCACTAAGTCTTTACTTGATTTCAACAGATTTACTGTTCATCACAGGCACCTCAGCAGAACTTCAGGCCTCCTCCACTGAGGCAGGGGGAGGACCACAGTGAATCCTCTGCAGCTCCCCAGAAGGGACAGAGGTAGGGCTGGGTGGGCAGAGGCCTGAGAGTCTAGCTCCTTGGATTTCACTTGGGGCAACTCTGCCCCCAAGGGGCTTTTGGAGAGGTTTGGAGGCAGTTCTGTTAGTCACAGTGATTGGGGGGGGGGGGGGCTCCTGCTGGCATGTAATGGACAGGGAGTGGGGTACTTAACATCCTGACATGCACCTGTGCAGTGAAGACTTGTTCTACCCCCTGGGTCCCCCTTTGAGAAACTCCTGCACCTGATGTGACTCTGGGTGGAAACAAGAACAGGGAATAAGGATTCTCACCTCTCCCATCAAGAAGTTGTTGACCCTTAACTCACTAAGGGAAGAGCCAGGGGAAAGAGTCTGGGAACTGGGAATCAAGGCTATGCTTGGCAAACAATGACTCAGTATTGGCTCTGTGAAGGGCCCTTTGCTAGGCAGGAGCCTGGGAACACAGACCTGAACAAGACCTGTCCCTGTCCTGGAGGAGTTCACAGTCAGGCCTGGGAGAAATAGTAATAATAATAACTCATTTATTAAATGTCAGCTGAATGCCAAATGTGTTTACGGTCATCTTTTTGTTTAATCGAGTCCTGAATCTGGTTCTATGATCAGCCCCCGATTTACAGGCAAGGAAACTAAGGCCCAGGGATTACCTGATGTACCAAGGTCACACACATATATGAGACAGAGCTGGGATCTGAACCAAGGCCCATGATCTGTCTACCAGACCTTGCTACCTCTGGGTTTTGGGGAAGGATCCTGTCTGCCCCAGTGGATGTTTAGGGGATGCTTCTGTCTCTAAATATTGGTAGAAGGATTCCCTGGAAACTCCCCAAGTTGAGCGACCTAAAGGAAACAGGATGAGGTGGCCAGTGCAGATGGAGCATTCCCTGTGCTCAGCCCTCTGCTAGGGATGGCTGAACTGGAGCAATAAGATGCAGAGAAGCCAAATGGCTGCTTAGAGAAATGGTCGCAGCGTTGGGAGACTTCGCTTTGCATACTCCAAGTCTCAGGGGCCAAGGCTTCCAGAAGGCCATGGTCTCTGGCCAACCAAACTCATAAGAACCTGATGTTTAAATCAGAGGCCCAGTGTTTCCATTTGCCATGGAGTAAGCAAATAATAAGAGCACAGCTCTGGAACTGTCGTGTAATGTTGTGAATCTTACCTCTACCACTTGCTAATTGTGTCATGTTGTACAAGCTATTAATCGCTCCAAGCCTCAATTTCTTCTTCTGTGAAATGGCAATAAAATGCGCAACACATGTTAGTTGTCTTTGTCACTACCATTTATAGATCATTCACTCTATGTGAGGCATCCTATACACACATGCTGCCATTTAATCCTTGAAAAGTCTTATGAGGAAATAGCTATTATATCTTCATTTTGCCAATAAGAAAACTGAGGCACAGTGAAGTAGATTCTAGGACATAAATGGCAGAGCAGGGGTTTGAACCAAGTCCTCTGACTACAAAATCAGCGCTCTTAGTCTCTAGAGCTTTTTCTTGGGACCAGGATATTCCCGTCTGCCCCCAAGGGGCTCTGCCTGGTACCTGGATATCTGTTTAGTTTAGATGATGGCCCAGCAGGGCAGTGAGCCACCTGGAGTCCCCCAGGTCCCCATGACTCCTCAGCTGAGACCAGAGCTGCCTGAGCCTGGAATCCCTCTGTCTACTGGTTCCCCGTCCCTCCCTCTGATGCAGCCGAATGAATTCTCCCTTGCACCCCCTTTTCTGTGCATCCTTCTGTTCCCTTTAGATAGAGCACAATGCAATTGATTAGGCCTCTGTTTTCTCAATTTCAATCACATCCTCGCCCTGCCTCCCTGAGATTACAGGCGGGTCACCTTGATTGCGGTTTCCACCGTTCACAAAACTCTTCAGTCATTTACAAAACCATCTCTCGCCTCATTCACTCCCCCACCTGGCTCTTCTCCTCTGCGATGCGTGATTTTACTGGCTTAAGACTCAGAGGGCAATTTTATTTCCAAGTTCATGGTGGGGGAGGAAGACACCTAATTGACTAATGCTGTGTGTTTCACATGCATCATCTAATTCGAGCTTCACCATGAGGTAACGCAGAAGTAGGATTATTCCTGTTTTACCAAAGTGGAAACAAAGACTCTGAAAGGCCACAACGCTTGCTCAAGGTCACTCAGCTGGACAAGAGTCAGGATTTGAACCCAGATTCGTGTGACTTCAGAGTCTCGGGCATCCCTCTGTGTCTCATTCCCTTATTTGATGGAACAGCATGGGACAGTGTGATACTAACCCAGAGTCAGCTCCAGGGAGGACATGCTGCAGACTGGGGTGGCGGTAGCCCCACATCTGCTGGACTGTTTTCATAAAAGAACCGACTCATTTATTAATTTCACACACATCTACTGATGTCTCCTGTAGGCTGGTCCTGACCAGGAGGCAGAACAGTAAACAATTACAACACTTAGGGGCAAGGTCAGTCTGGAGACCAAGGGAGACTTCTTGGAGGAAGTGAAAGAAAAGTCTGCCAGATGAAGCAGCCAGAGGGTGAGATCATCTCCCACTGAGGGAATAGCTTGTGCAAAGGTCCAGAGGTGTTGTAGAGCAAGGTCAAGTCAAGCAAGTATAAATAATTATATTTGGGAGGGTTGAGGTGAAGGATGAGGCATGGAAGAAGGAGGTTGGAAGGCCAGAGACACAAGATACTGGGGGGTCAGGAAACCAAGGGTTATGGTCCCTGAGTTGAGAAAAGTCAGTCAGAAAAAGCTTGGGTGGCCTAGGACATATTGGGATGAGTCTATTCTGGATTCCACTGCTCTGGTACTGAGCTGGGTGGACCCACTATCCACTCCTGGAGTTCTCTCCCAAATACCATATCAAAGTCTCCCTCCCACTCCTGGAGATACACACACCCACCCAACCACCCACCCCTGGATGGTCTTGCAGTGATGTCTGTACTCTCTCTAGTGGCCATTCTGGGCACTACATCCAAAACTGCAGGAAACTTTCTGGGATAGAAGAAACCTTCAGAACCTTCCCATCTCTCAGGATGGGAGAGAGAGTCATTCAGTACAGTTCATGCTCTCAGAAAGCTCACAATTTACTGGTGGTGAGCGTGAAGAGCACAGGAAAGCAGAAGATGTTGGAGATCAGGAGAGGGTCCTAACCCAATTGGGCAGGGGGACGTCTTCTCGGAGGAGGTGTTTCACTACCAGAGACTTGAAAAAGAAATAAAATTTTGCTTGATAAAGAAGCAAGAGAGGGGCATCCAGACTTGATAGAATTAAGTAGCTCAGAGGCAGGAAATGGGACTGTGAAGAGAGTTAAAATTAAGTAGCTGTGATTGGAGTGAACAATTTGAGGGGGATCTGTGGCTAAAGATGAAAGAGATGGCGAGGTCGGCAGGGGTTGTCTGCTGCGTACTCAATCTAGGATTCCAAACCTTGGGTCACAGGAAGTCACTGAAGAGTTCTGAGCAGGGGAGTAAGAGAGTCAGATCCACTTTCCAAAAGGAACCCACTGGTGACCCACGTGGAGGAAGGATAGGCAGGGAAGAGGTGGGAGAGGAACACTCTTCTTGGACACAAAGAATCACACCAGGTCACACTCACTGGAGGACACAGAGCTCTGGGCAAGCCTGTGAACCAGACGTTGTCACAGATGACAACACCTACAGACTTGTCAGTGGGACCCCAGGCTGAGCACCCAGACACACACACACAAACTGACATATACTCAAACCCACAACTCAGGACCTCGAACCTGAGGAAGCCGAGGGCATACATTCACTCCCAGCCACAGGCGACAGTGAGAACCCAGCGCTCTGATGGACGCCGGAATCCACCCGCACGTACTGTGGCTGTCAAGGGCTCTTCCCTGCCCCGCCCCACCCCCACCCCCGGCCCTCACCACCTCGGGCAGGAACAAAGCTGACCTTTGCCCCCTGGCCTCTGGCCTCTCCTCCCACACCCCCTGCCCAGAGGGAGGAGCTGTTTGAAGTCTGGGCTGCAGCTGGGGTTTCCTGTTGCCTGGAGGAATGTGGGAGGACTCGCAGGGAGGGGCGGGTGCGGGGAGGCCAGCAACGGAGGAGGGATAATGGGGACCTGGGGGCCTTGGTTCCCACTGTACCACAGTGAAGGAGAGCTTCCTGCTTCCACGGTCTCTGGGGCCCCAGCTCTGAGCTGTTCCCATCCAGAGGAGGGGAAAACCAAGGCCGAAATGGCTGCAGTCCAATGGGCCTCTTGTTCCCGGATCTGTAGCTCAGTGGTTCAGGACAGGCCCTCCACCTCTTTGGGCCTCAGTTTCTCCTTCTGGGGACTAGGTTGAATCCCTCTGCAACAATCCAGACCTTTCCTGGGGGTAGCTCCAAGAATGAGGCCAGCCCCAGAACTTCTGTAGTCAGAGAGGGCAGTGCCCATTCCTACCCAAGGCTCACTTCACTCTGTCCTTTCCAGGAGCTCCAGGGGCCTGGTCCAGGCTTCTGTGACTTCTCAGTTATCGCTATTATTATTATTATATGGCTCAATAATTCCCCCAGCATGCCGGTGCCAGTTTTTCAAACTGCTTTCATATCCATGTGTTCAGTAAATCTTCTCAACAGCCTTGCCTGTAACACAGAGAAG